AGCAAGCCCAAGATGATTCCTGAAAACTAGATAGAGTCTTAGAATACTGGATATGGAGGTACAAGTTGATGAAGTGGTATTATGCATAAGCCTCCAAAGCACAAGTGTGATAAAATTCGTAACATGACATTTTTCACTGTCATTATTGATTATGATGCATCAGAAATGAGAAATCAATTTTTACCCCGACATAATCGATTATGCTGAGGAGATAATCGATTATGGCAGTTTGAAATTCAAAAATATATATGTTTTGAAGAATAATGTTTTTTAATATATCTTTATTTTTATTCACGAAAATATTAATGTCCAACGACCATTTTCTAATGTTATCACTAGTATGCAAATCACTTTTAACATCGGGCTTTCCACATCGGTTCTTTAAGAACCGATGTAGAAAGTGAATTCAAGACTTTCAACATCGGTTCCCGGATGAACCGATGTAGAAAACACTTTTACATCGGTTCCCGGATGAGCCGATGTAGAAAGTGTTTTTATAAAATTAAGAAAATTGTTATTGGCGGGATTCGAACTCAATACTTTGAAGTCGGAGGCGATACTCCAACCACTAAGCTACCAAGATTTTACGATAATAACATATACATAAATTATATTTATATACAAATAAAAATGTATATCCATGTAAATATATAAATATAAAATATATAAATACAAATACAAATATATTTATATATTTATATGTTGGATGTGAGAGCGCTCAGAGTAAAAGTGTGTGTCAAGTGGGTTTTCAAAATTTGATGTCAAATTTGTGAGCAAGTTTCTTTATATGAATTTGTAATTTAATGATAGAATATAATCTTTATAATTTATTTATAATAATATAGAATATAATCTTTATAATTAATTTATATAATGATATAAAATAAAGAAAAAAATTATTTTATATCATTATATAAATAAATTATAAAGATTATATTTTGTCATTAAGTTATAATCCATATAAAGAGACCCGCTCACAAATTTGACATCAAATTTTAAAAATTCACTCGACACACACTTTCATCCTCGGCAGCGTCCTCACATCCAACATATAAATATATAAATATATTTGTATTTGTATTTATATATTTTATATTTATATATTTACATGGATATACATTTTTATTTGTATATAAATATAATTTATGTATAAGTTATTATCGGAAAATCCTGGTAGCTTAGTGGTTGGAGTATCGACTCTCCGACTCTAAGATACTTGGGTTCGAATCTTGCCGATGACAATTCTCTTAATCGATAATAATTCAAATTCCTAAAAAATATAAATAATAAAAATATAATATAAAAGAGTTATAAAAGGGAGATGATAGTCTAGGAAACTCTAGATGAATAGATAGGGTAATTAGAGATGTGTTATGAATAAACAAAATAAAAAAAATATTAGACTTTCTACATCGGTTCCTTACAACCGATGTAGAAAGTCACACTTTCTACATCGGTTGTATCTACATCGGTTCTAAAACCGATGTTAAAAGTCTCTGGGAACCGATGTTAAAAGCCTATTTTGTACTAGTGTATTTTTCTATTTAATTAAGTTTTGATGGAAAATAAAAAATACACAATTACGAAATTCAAAAATTCAATTTACAGTTTTGAGAAAAGAATTATGAGTAAGACAACATAACACTTTTAGGTTTTCTGAGAAAACTTTTTCATATTGCCTTCTGCACTTTCATTGTTAATCACATTTGTTCTTAGAGGTTGACATTCTACAGACTTCTATAATTTGTTGTCTCAATTACCAGGTGTGACTTTCTTATTTAATTGATTGTGTTATTTAAGGTTTCCTGTGTGGAACTGTTCATCCTTTGTTCTTAGGAGGTGTGGTCTTGTGTCATCCCTTGATTTGTTCCTAGAAGGTGTGATCTTGTTTCATCCCTTGTTTTGTTCCTAGGAGGTGTGATCTTGTTTCATCCCTTTGATTTGTTCAGGAAAGTGTTCATCCCTAGTGTGATTCTAGGGAGGTGTTCATCCTTTGTATATTGGTGGCAAAGGAGGTGTTTTTCATCCTTTGATTTGTTCAGATGAGATGTTCATCCTTAGTGGGATTCTAGGGAGGTGTTCATCCTTAGTGGGTTTCTAAGGAGGTGATTGTCTTTTTAATTAGTTTATTCTTTACTGATTCCTCTGCTGAGTTGATTGTAATTTGTAAACTGAATTTTAAAGATAGTGAATTGGGGTCACTCTTGTGTTAGAGGTGACTGAGAACTGGATGTAGGGTTGGCTATACCCGAACTAGTATAAATTATTATGTGCTCTTCTTTTCCCTTAATCACTCCTTTTCTTTTACTGCATTACTCTCCTTCTTTGTTTTCCCTATATATGTGCACTTATATCTTTCCCTATATCTATATGATTTTATCGCTTCCGCTTTATCTTTGTTCAATTTGATAATTAAAATTGGATCAATAAATATTGAACATCTTAAAATAAATTTTTAATTTGGCATCTATTTTAATTTGTACATCTATTCACCCCCCCTCTAGATGTTATTTGTCTAACACTATTGTTTGTACTTCTAGACTTATGTGGTTAACAAAATCTAGAAGTGTTAGTGCAAAGTTTGGTGCAAGTTATATTAATGAAAAATGTTGATTTAAATCTACTTCTAAAATACCTATCACACTTTGTGAATCATTGTTTTGAAATCTGGATTCATGTAGAACTATCAAAGTTCTAGCTCCAATCATATGCCTAGCCAAGGATCTAACTCCAATGGTAATCAATCTCATATGGACATATCTTCCTTGTTGGCCTAGCAGTTGCCTACCAGTTTGTTGAGATATCAGTGAAATTATCTCATAAGTGTTGTCTGGCAGATGAAAGTTTTCTATTCTTCTATATCGGTAAAGGCTAGTCCTTATTGAGCTTAGCCAATATTGTATAACTGTTTAGGATTCAAGGAATTTATCCTTGTATTTAATCCTATCTCAGTATTTTGTTGTATATCTACTAAGTCTTCTAAACGTCTGACATTAGTTGATCTTTGTCCATTTATGAATCTATCTAAAATTTCAGGATGTTGTATCAAGTTTTGACTCCTAGTTTGATGTTCCTTTAGTCTTCTGGGGACTCCGGAAAAATTCTGTGTTTTATTAGAATTTGTTGTACTATTCATATCAACATTTTCTGTTTGTGTGGAGTTATTGAGTTATGTAAACATAACAAACTCTTAATATTATTTGTGGAAGAAGAGACTTCTTCTTTCTTTGTTGTCACTTTAACAATTTTTTAGTATTCTTAGAAATTATCTTTGTGTGTGTTGGTTCCTAAAAATAATTTAGAAACTTGATTAATGAGATCGTCTATCTCATTTGACTTGTTTGTATTTTTTTTTTAAATCTATTAAACAAGTTAATTTTTTAGACACTTCTTCTATAAGTACTATTATCGTGTTGTTTTGTCCAATAAAGACTATGTAGAGTCTACTTCTGAAGTAGGCTTTTTGTATCACACTGGAGGAGATTTGTAATTTGTTCGACAATTACGAAAAGTCGTTCTTTAGTCTTTGTCTAAAAAAGACTGTAGACTTTGTATACCTTCTATTAAAATTTTTAAAATAAAAAATTGTAAAAAAAGAAAGACAGGAAATCAAAGAGTGAACAAGAAAATAAAACAACAACTAAATGGACGAGAATAAGGGATTCTAAATTTTATAGAAAAATAATTATAAATAGAAATTTCTTTATATCATCTCTTAATTTATTTTTAATTCATTATTAGAGTTAAAGGTGTGCTTATTTCAAATTTTATGAAAAAATATTTTTGCAAATAATTTTTTTTTAACGGATCACATTTATTTTTAAAAACCCTTGCTTAAACTTAAAACCAAACTAAACTTTCGATAAAAAATTATGATGACACTTTCAAATCAATTTTAAATTGTAAAAGTGAGAGAGGATTCCTTCTTCAAATTGTCTCTCTTGCATCAAAGTCTTATTTGAAAAAAATAATACATTTATTTATCTTTTATTTTTTATATATATATATATATATATATATATATATATATATATATTTAAGTTTGTTATTCTTATTAAAAAAAATTAATGTTAGAACATTTTCTTATATTTAAGCGATATTGTTTCTATTGTTTAAGAATTGATAATTTATATATATTATCTTTTTTATTTATAATAATTTATTAGAACTTCAAAATAAATACTATATATATAATTAAAATATTTAAAATGAAAAGATATTGTATAAATTTTTTTATTTTTTACCTTTGTGTTATATTTATTTGTACAAAATCAAATTATATAAAAGTATTGGGTGACATTATTTTGAATATATATATATATATATATATATATATATATATATATATATATATATATTATGTTTTTTTACTTAAATAATTTTTTTTATTTTTTCTCTGTTATTTTAGTTTTATTTTTTCTTTAAAGTAAAATAATATGGTAAATTCCGTTAATATTATTAAATCATGTAATATAAAGCGCCATGTAAAGATGTGATTATATATTTTAGTTATATTATTATATATATATATATTTTTTAAACAATTCAATGAAATTAATAGAAGGACTATCAATTTAATAACGGAAAATAATAAAAAGATGAAATAAAAAAAATAAATAAAGGGAAATTATTTTAAGTATTTTATGTAAAAATCCCGTAAAAATAAAGTTTAATGGGAAGACTATATATCCCATATTCATTTGTTTTGTATTTATTTATATTTTACATGTCTCTACCAATAAATCGTAAATGTTTATATTTTTAAAATATATGGTAAATAAATATTAAAGTATGGGTGCATTGTGTCCTTAAAAAAAGTTATTAAGTTACTATTCTAAATTTCTAACAAATAAAATACATATTTAGTCTAAATTATTTTGAATAATAGTTGAAAAGAATGAACGCATTTAGAAGTTACGAGACTCTATAGAGAGGGAAAGGCAGAAAGGCTGGAACTGACTTTCCGTTTTTCTCTCTCCCTTCACTTTCCATTCAGCGCAATGTACAGGCTAGCTACTAGAAACGTCGCCGTTTTCTTGCCTTGTTGCCGCTCCATTAGTCTCATGTCTCCTTCTCCTCGCTTTCCCATTTTCATTTCATCACTTCCTACTCGTTTCATTCGGTAAGCAAAATAATGCTTTCTTTGTTTTTGTTTATTTCATACTCTTTTTGTGCTAATGCATTTGACTTTGAAACTTAGGGTTTAGGACGTTCGTTTTATTGAAACAAGTTATGCTAATATAATTTTTTCTGATATATTTTGAATTAATGGATGAACCTTTTGAAAATCTATCCAGTATATAAATTTTAATTTGTCGGGGAAGCTACTGAGAATTGTAAGATTTTTTTATTTTTATTTTTTGTGATTGTCATGGTATCATATCTCATCTGCATTTCATTTTGTTTTGTCAAATTCCATTTGAATGTGAAAAAAATGAGGCAAGTTGTCTCGGTGAATATTAGTTGAGACATTCTTAGAATCAGAAAGATATTTTCAGAGAATTTTGGTGTATGGACAACAACGTCTGATGAGTTAGCATAAATTATTCATACTAATAGTAGAGTGTGACCTTGAGGTCATTCTAACTATATATTGCTTGCTTTACATGTTACTTTGATAAAATTCAAGCAGTTATATTACTTTGTTGTGTCTATTTAGAAACTTGTATTATTGTGTCTGTTTAGAAACTTGTATTATTGTGTCTGTTTAGAAACTTCGCTATCTTATTCAATATGCAAGAATCATGATTACATGGTTAAAGTAGGCTGAATGTGAATGGTAGATATATGAATGCAAATGTATTATAGTAGTGGTAGATGTCAAGTTTAATTTGTCATTTTGAGTTGCGAAAAAATAGCTCTAATTTTTTTATTTAATATTTTATAGACATAGTGGAATCTTATAAATTGTAAATGTTGCTGATGAACAGAGTAATCGGACATGTATCAAATGTATCGAGTTATACGGGTACAAAGGTTTCAAGGGGGAGTAGAAGGGCCACCAAGAAAACCACTGTACCAAAAAATGTTACAGATGATAAAAACCTTCCTCACTTATTGTGGTGGAAGGAGGTAGGTTCATTTACTTCTTTCCTGAATTTAGTTAAAATGCAAAATTCGTTACTCTTGACTTTTGTGTTTTGATTCTATACCATGGGATCTTTAGAATTTTTTTTTTCGCTCTTGTTTCCTTTCTAAATTATGGCAGAGGTTGCAAGTGTGCAGAAAGCTTTCAACTGTCCAGCTAATTGAAAGGCTTGAATATTCTAATTTGCTTGGACTCGATTCCAACATGAAGAATGGAAGGTGAGTTCTTATGATGGCGAGGTTATTACTTTATGGGTTTTCTTTTATTTTTTTGTAATAAAAAATGAAAACATTGTGGTTAGTTTTTAAAATATTTACCTACAGATTTATTAGGACCTTAAAGGGAGAAAGTTAGGCCACATGTTTACATTCAAACTGTTGGCATGTTTTGATTATGCTTCTTTATTATATTTTCAATATAAAGGCTTTATTTTCCCCTTCATAAGTTGCAAGGTATGTTCTTTGCTATTCTGATACCATTTCATATCTAATGGACCAATGTCAACAAGAATGCATTTTAAGAATGTATATAATTGATATTTGTTCTTATCATATCCATTTTAAGTTGGCTATTGTTCCATGAAGTTGAACACACGTACTTGAACTGTCTTATTCTCTGCTTCAAGAGATGATATATTAGTGAGAAAGTTGATGAAGAAATCAAATTTCATTTGTGTAGTCTGAAAGAAGGAACACTTAACTGGGAAATATTGCAATTCAAGTCAAAATTTCCACGTCAAGTATTGCTGTGCAGAGTAAGTAGTACTTATACCATTCCTTGAGAGCTTTGTCAAACAGGGCTGCTTTAGTAAATTTAATTTGAAGATAGCATGGTTATGTTTTCTCAATAAATTTTGGTCTGTTCACTTTGTTCATTTCCTGGTTTGCCGACAATTCTATTTCTACCTTTCTTTGAGTAAGCTTTCTCTTGGTATCATTTATTTATTTTTAAAATTTTGGTCAGGTTGGGGAATTCTACGAAGCCTGGGGAATAGATGCTTGCATTCTTGTTGAATATGCAGGTTTAAATCCCTTTGGTGGTCTGCGATCAGATAGTATTCCAAGAGCTGGTTGTCCTGTTATGGTACGTCTGTTTCTGACGACAAACTTTTATAATACTGATACTGTGATTTGTTTTGCTTACTTTCTCATAAAGTTTAATTTTATATTTACAAATGCGAATGAACTTCTTATATATTTAATAAATGTCCTGATTATTTTCTTTGCTCATAGAATCTTCGCCAGACTTTAGATGATCTTACACAAAACGGTTATTCAGTGGTGAGTCAATTAAGTAGTGTTCTACCATTTTTTTCTTTATTTAATTTTTCATAAATCTATATTTGTAGCATTCTTCAAAATGAAACCCAAAGTGAGTAACCCCTGTTTACACATATATGTTATTTGTAAATTGTTATGATGCTTGCTATCTTACCAGTGTATGAATATATGCTGCTAATTAAGTTGATCCGAACAGTGCATCGTGGAGGAAGTTCAGGGCCCAACTCAATCTCGATCCAGGAAACGTCGCTTTATATCTGGGTAAGTACAGCATTCTCTCTAGTGGACTCTATGTTGGCGGTGTGGGAGCTTGCTGTGGTTATAAGTGTGGAAAATAAACTTGTCTCCTTCACTAATGTTTGTTTTATATGCGAGTTGAAAGTTGATGTTTTATGGATTTAATAGTATCAAAATCATGTACATAGGCTGTGTATTTTGAGAAATCTTGTATTCTTTCTTATTAGCTCAAAATCATGTACATACCCCTCTTGAATCTTGGCATTCAAGATTCCTATGAAAATTCTTTCTTCTTTCCATCAAAATTTGTCCACTAATAATTGTACATCCAAGGTCTTCGGATGTGTCTAATTTGTTCATGTTCATATTCAAGGAAGGGGAACACTTTATCCTAGAGGCATAAAATGTGTTTTTGTTGGGTACTCCTCTATCCAAGGGATATAAGTGTTACTATCCTCCTTTTGAAAAGTTGTCTCAAGATGTAGCCTTTCATGAAGATCAATGTTTTTTCAAACAACCTTATCTTAAGGGGGACAATTTGCAAGAAGATAAGGAAACTCAATTTGAGACTCTTGTTCTTCTTAGGCTTGAGTTTACCATTATTGTGTCTAAGTCAAAAAAAATATCTTCCTTTCTCATAAACTAAAATTGATCCTAAAGTTGATGAAAGTTTTGAAATTTTTTTTGTACGAAAGAAGACCAATGGCCACTCCCAAAGCAAAATATGTTAAAAGAGCCCAATTCAACTCCTTCACATCAACTAACAAGTTCTAATTCTCCCGCTTTACAAAATACTTCATTTTTGCTAGCCCATTTTTGCAACTCCTATCTAAAATAGGGGGATAGAGGGAGCAACTTGGACAATGATAGAAGACTGAGGAGGACAACTTTGCAGTGTATAACACAAGTGAATTGTGTGATCTAGTTCTTGGCTATGATTGCACTTTGTACGAACTTTGTCCAAGTTGTGAGAGTAGTCATTATTGAGATACCAATGTAGAGGAGTTAGCAAGGTGTCAAAAGAAGGTATTTAAGTTACACGACACACGTAATAAGGTGGACCAAGTGGAGTTCAAGGTGGGGCATAGTTGGAAACCCCAAGATCTAACCACAAATTGATGAATACTCATTGGGAAACTTGTACCAAGTCATCAACATAAAGAAAATTTGTCATTGTTCCAGTCTTTGGGAGGGGAAGTAGAGGTAAGAGTTCATTAAAGTCATGGACTTTACCCTTATAATAAGCTATGAAGCCATCAATGCGTCTAGGGGCTATTATACTTAAGAGATTTTGGCAAACACTATAGAGGCATTATCATTGGTGTACAACGACTAGGGGTGTTCAAAACCTACATGGTCCAAAAAAATAACCGACAACAATCCAAAAAACCAAAAAACTAATTAAAATTGAATTTTCATTGTATTTCTTTGATCTTCTTTTTCCTAAATCACATGATTTGGTTCAGATTTCACATTACAAAAAGAACCGAACCAAATTGAACTAGATCGTTTATTGTATTTAAATATAATATATGTATAGAGTTAATTATTAACTAATAAACATAGATGAACATGTCTCTTGAAGGTATAGTTTGATTATAATTTATTTACAGTATATTTATGCTTATCAAAATATGAAATCACCTTTGTATTATAATTTTAATTATATGACTCTTTAATTTATTTGTTAATATAAGCGAAATTAAATTATCAAAATAACTATAATCATAAAACAAATCACATTGTCTTTCTATTTGTGAATTTTTCATTATAATTTTTTTTTAATTTTTTTGTAAGCAAATGTTTTACATTATTTTAATAAAACTCGTTTAACAATTTAATGTAACAAAAATTGTAAAATTGATAAATCCATCCACAAACATTGGTTTGATTTTATTTGGATGTTATATTAAATTAAAATCGAATCGTATTTCATTGTTGTATTTGGTTTGGGAGATTATTTAATGGAAAAGCGAACCAAATTGAATCAGAAACACCCTAACAGCATGCGAGCTTGCTCCCAAATCCCAACCTCAACGCGTGTCTAATGGACTCGAAATATTTACTTTAGGGAAGTATGAATGGTTGGCAGTAGTGGAAACAAAGGCAAAGGTTCATTGAAGTCATGGACTTTGTCCCAGTACTCAGCCATGAAGCCATCATTACATCTAGGGCTATGATACTTAAGAGATTTTGGTAAAACAGTGTACAACAACTGAGCCTGATCCCAAATTGTAACTACAACAAATATCACACGGGCTCGAAGTATTTGTTTCAGCGAAGGATTAGTAGTCGACTTTAAAGAGCTACAAATTTGGGCATCAGCTTTGGACCATTGAGGGCAATCTTTTTCATCAATGGAGGAACTGTCTGGGTAAAATGACCAACATAATCCTATCTCTTAAGCCAGAGTTTGATATTAGAGGCCTAGGTATCACAATTATTGTCATCGAACTTGTCAATGGTGAGTGGGACATTGACATAGTTTGGAAAAATTTTAAATGCGAACATATCTCAACATTGGGAGTAGCCATGGGCACTTTGAGGAGAGAGAGAAATTAAAAACGAAAGAGAGATAAGTGTCCACAATAGGTAGGAGAGATGAATAGCTAATCGAAGTCACCAAGCAAGGACTAGATTGGGAGAGAGGATGACAAAACGAGTCTAGTGTTGGTGGGATTGGCTAGAAAGGCGTTCAAATGTGTCGTTGCACATGGTTGATGATGACAGATGGATTGGAACTTTGTGGAGTAAGAGGGCTTGTTGTTGCTCCAATGACGATGTAGGATTTGTCCAAGCTACATGACTTTGATGGTGGGGTTGCAAGTTAGAGTTTCTTCTGTTAGCGACAATGGTAGAAATTACATAAATGATGGAAAATACGCTAAAAATGGACCAAGAGGGATTGCAAGAAATCATAATGCGACACATTTTCTGAAAAAAGTTTGGGACTGATGGACAATGGATCCACCGATAGGCATGAATTGATTAGGCTCTAGGTACCATGTTGGAAAAAATGGTAGAGTCATGTGAGATGGAATCCATGTGTGGTGCACAATAGAGAACACACACATATATGTAGATATATTTATATACCGTCTTAAAATATGGGTTTAGGCCGAATTTAACACTGCCAAACAGGTTTGCAAGGTGATGAGAGTTGTGCCCCCTCTCAACTTCTGTACATTACTTTGACCATATCACTAGTTTATAGTAGATCTTTAAGTTGATCCATACCAGCTGACCAACATTGGTTGGCATGCTTGTGCATAATAGTTAGTGTATTTTGTGATAACAATCTAGAACTCATGGAAATGTTTTTTTTTTTCTTTCTTTTTTACATAAATTTTATCATAAATTAGTTGTCTTTTGAAATTGCCATATAATTCATTCAATGTGTTTTACTTTCAGGCATGCTCATCCCGGAAATCCCTATGTATATGGACTTGCAGCAGTTGATTATGATATTAACTTTCCAGAACCAATGCCTATAGTAGGTATTGGTGGTCTTTTCTTTTCTCCTTGTCTAGGTCTAGTTATATACTACTCGTAATAATCTTAATATTCCAATAGTAACTTTTATGATGATAATACTTTATTTATGTGTGCAAATTCATTTCTTAATTACCTTTTAGTTGGACGAATTTGTAGCATATAACATTTCCATAGTGTTATATTCTACTCATAAGATTCTTAATATTCTAATAGTAACTTTTATGTTGAGAGTTCTTTATTTATGTGTACAACTTCATTTCTTAGTTACCTTTTACTAGGACGATTTATAGCATATAACATAGTTCTATCATAGGGAAGTAAGTATAAGGATTAGTCTATACTTTATAATATATAATGTAAATTCTTTCGTGTAACAATTATCAGATTGATAGAATGAGTAAAATTCTCTTTTTTAGTTTCGGAAAGGACAACGAGAAGCATGAGCACTTACCATTTTCTTATCTACATTTGAGTTTGCACTTTGAGTTCTTACTTGGCAAGCTGGGAGTTTAATATATGACTACCGCATTGATGTGAATGTTGGGAAGAATCTAGGTGATAGGAATTAGCATTAATGTGATTAGCTTAAAAAATGTGAAATTATTGTAATAACCTAATTTTATCTTGATTGTTTTCGGTTCAAGTCTAGGAGTAATTTTCCCACTCTTTCTGTTTTAGCTTCTGTATTTTTTCAGAAAATCAATGAGGATTTCTTCCTAAAGCTTTCTCCAGATCATAGTTTGGCTTTGAAGTATAGGACTGTTTATTAAAGTAGGACAACCATTGCAAATTCATGTTGCAATTTGGAAGGATTTCTCATTTGAATGTCATTGCAAAGGTGGTTCGAGTAAATAATAACTTTCTTGAAGAGTCACAAGTGTAGTTTATAACTGTCATATTGAGTTATGTATTATTGGAGTAATGGTCATTTTTCACAATGCTCATTCTTCGTTATTTGCATTTCTTTATTAACACTGCATCTTTTTGTTGCATTGGAATGATAATTTTAATGATGTCCTTTTGTCGTAGGAATATCTCATTCTGCAACGGGCTATTGCATCAACATGGTACTAGAGACCATGAAGACGTATTCTTCTGAAGATTGTTTGACAGAAGAAGCAGTTGTAACAAAACTTCGCACTTGTCCGTATCATCATTTATTTCTGCATACATCTTTGAGGCAGAACTCTTCTGGTTTGTACTTTCCTCAGTCTTTTCGAATTTTCTTTTATGAAATGAGTTGGGTAAGCATGCAGGCCTAACTTTGGTTCACAACATGTAAAAGATCATGCCATCAGAATATTACTTGTTGTAGGAAGATTTTTCTGTTTTGTTTGATTCTATCCTTTACTTAGCTGTATCTTCCCTTGTGTAATATTTTATATATATATATATATTGTATACGAAAATACAAAACTTCAAATCATTGTAATTTGTGCTATTTAAGTAATTGTTTTATAGCATAAATGGGGTGTGTAAAAGCGTATAGAGAGAAATTCTTGTTAGATATAAATATTCGTTATCTTCATCTTAGTTATGCATTTGAATAGTGTTTTTCTAGGAACGTACGACTGGAGGGAATTCGGCGAGGGGGGACTCTTATGGGGAGAATGTAGTTCTAGACATTTTGAATGGTTTGACGGAAACCCTGTCTCTGATCTTTTGGTCAAGGTATGCTTTCAAATATATATATATATATATATATATATATATATATATATATATATATATATATATATATATATATATATATATATATATATATATATATATATATATATATATATATATATATTATTCGTCATTTAATGTCTTAAATTTTTACATGGTTATTTTACTTTGAACATAGGTAAAGGAGCTTTATGGTCTTGATGAAGAGGTTGCGTTTCGGAACACAACCGTGTATTCGGGAAATAAGGCTCGACCTTTAACTCTTGGAACCTCTACTCAAATTGGTTGGTATATTAGCACTGAGATGAATGCTCGAATTTTTACTTCTTATTTTTGTTTTAACTAGATATGCCTCTCTTTACATTCTTAGGTGTTATTCGAACGGAAGGAATACCTTTTTTGTTGAATGTCTTACTTCCGTCAAATTGTAATGCATTACCCGCACGGTGAGTAAACGATTCTTTTTTAAGTCATATTTGACCAACTCGCCCTCTCAAAAATTTTGCATTTTATATATTTATCCATTTCATTGTGTATCATTGTGCATATTTGACCAACTCGCCCTCTCAAAATTTGATTCTATGATTTTTAATTATCATTACGAATAACTACTAGTATTTTTCTTTTTTCTCTTTTAGTGTAAAAAGTCTTTTGGATCATTTTGCAATGCACTGGTTCTCAAGATGATTTTTTATTTTTCCCTTTTATTTTGCAAGCAAAAGTTATGTATTCCTTTTAACTCTGGAAAGAAGACACAAGAAAAAAAGAAATATTGAAAGAGTACTAACTTTTCTGTCTTCGTTTTGCCATGCTGAATTAAGTATAAACTTGTTTATATTTTTTATTTTTGGACCATTTAATTGTCACAATTGTACTAAAATTTCATTATAAATTATTTATTTCTCCTATTCTGTTTTTTTTTTATCTTTTATCTTATTTTTAACAAGTTTAAATATAAAAAGATAATTTAAATATATAAAATATATTAAAATAAAATATTACTTTATTCTTTATTGTAAATAATTCATTGTAAGTAGTGTTTTTATTTTGAACAATATTTTATTAAATTTGACTTATTATTTATTAAAAGTATAGGAAATGCCTTATAATAAATGGCTGTATTCAACCATCAACTTCAACGTCGGAGTTCTTCCTTCATCATTTTCTATTGCTAATTATAATAAAGGATTAAATTAAATAAACAGTCTTTAATGATTGTAATTTTCATGACAAATAAAATATTTTAGGCAAAATATATTACTAACATTTTTTAGAAGTTCATTTTTATGTATTATTAGTATAAATATCTTTACGCAATCAACCAATCATGAATTATGAAAATTATTACTTTGAGGTAGTTATTGAAAAACTCAACATTATATCTCTAAAAATTTATGACTGAATGATTGTATAATAAAAACTCTGTTGTGCATGAACATTTTAGTGTAGAAGCCTTTGGGGTAATTTATAAAACTTTAAGTTATTGAAGTTATTTAGTCAATAAATTTATATTTTGTATTTTTGATTTTTTCCTATAGATTAATCATTTAATTTATATATATATATATATATATATATATATATCTTTAATTATTATTATTTAAAATGAATACTATGTTTTGTTTAAAATGAGCTATCTATTTATAGAATCATCACTTTTAATTCCTATTGTTCAAGAAATATATTTTAAAGTTTTTAATTTAAATATTTTGAGCATAAATGTAATATACGTTTGATGCTATTTTATCAAAATTAATATTTAATTATTAAAATTATATAATAGGTAGAATGAATATAAATAATTTATTTCTTCATTAAATACAGTTAAATCCATCAAATTTAATTACATACGATCAACGGTAATATTTCAAGTCTCTCTAGGTAAATGGATATTACATTGTATAACTAAATGTAGCTCAAAGTATAATTTTTAGGATAATTCTAGATACGGTCCTAATGTATATCATTGTGGTTCTCAGGTATGTAAGGGATCTTCTTTTGAATCCTCCTTCATATGAGATTGCATCCAAAATTCAAGGTTATTTTTGACTAGTTCTAATTATGGCAGGTCTCTTAATTATTTTTGTTGCAAAGCAGTTTTAATGTCAATTATGTACTGTACGTTAGTATAATATTACCATCGTTATATTGAAATTTTATTCTTAATTTTGGACTCTTTTTTTTTTTTTTTTTATATTTGGCAGCAACATGCAAACTTATGAGCAGTGTGACATGCTCAATTCCAGAATTTACATGTGTTTCTTCATCAAAGGTTCTTATTAAGTTATTTTTGTGAATTTTAATTTAAGTTCAAATGACTGAAAATGAAAACATTTGTTATTCCTTTTGACAGTATAATTGCTTCAATGAGAAAACTTGATGATATCTTGTATTTGTATTGACTAAGAAAACAGAAGCTCTAAGATGTGATTGGAGTTTTCTATTTAATATATATGACACAAGCGGGACATAGTTTTTGGTTAGAAACTCTTAAGAATCTAAATACATAGGGGTGTCAAAATAGGCTTAGTCCGATGATCCAGTCCAAAAGATCTGAAAAATAAGCCAGATTAGGTTGAAAATTTTGTACCCTAAATTGAATCAGGTCTATTTTGGTGATGACCATACTTTCAGTACCTTTATTTATGATTTTATACTTTTTTTATTTGCATTGACCATGTTTTTATAATTTTCTTACACACTTGTATTTTCTTGTCTGATTATTAAATGACCTGTCGACTATCTTGTTAGTCTTCCGGTAGGAATACCTAAAATCTTTCATTCTTTGTGTTTGTGCAGCTTGTAAAGCTACTTGAATGGAGGGAGGTCAATCATATGGAATTTTGTAAAATAAAGAATGTACTAGATGAAATTTTGCATATGTACAGAAACTCTGAGCTCAACAAAATATTGAAACATTTAATGGATCCCACATGGGTGGCAACTGGGTTAGAAATTGACTTTGAAACATTGGTGAGTGACAAAAGTTGGAATTTTTTTATTTCATTCTATTCAGATATAAAGGCGGGATAGTTTCACACTCTTCTAGATGTGTATTGTGGACAAGTTTAGAAGTAATTGTTCAAGTAAACATCATATTCCTTAAGTTACACTCTTTCTACCAGTCTCCAAACTAACCCATCCCTTCTCTATTTTTTTGTCGAAAACTTTTCGCAATGCTCTTAGTGTAAATGAATAGAATCTTCGTTGGAACATTGAATACATTTTGTATTTCAAGGGAAAAGTGAAGAAATGAAAGGATCCTCTTTATATAAACTGTGATGTTATGGTAATATTATGCACAACTTTATATTTATGGCAACTTCCTCTTATGTTTCACAAATGGGTATTCTGCCAGTGAACTTGTGGTTTTCTGTTCTTCATTGGTTTTATTCTATCTTTCTTTGGAAACATTACACGTTGAAGTTATTGAAAACTATGATGCTTGATGGTGCCAAGCCACACCACCCCCCACGCCCCACCCTCACACTGTTGTGCCTTCAGCAGTTGGGCCAAATGATGAGGTCCAGTCTTCATACCAAGTACACAAGAACGAGGAAAAGGAAGCTAGTTCTAGGCCTAAGAGAGTGACTAAAAGGTACAATGACTGGGGACACTATGTCCATTAGAATTAAAGCCCATGTTCTGAATTCATAGGAATGCTTAGATAATTGCTAGAAATTGTCTTTTGTCATTTAGCCGAGGGGTATGATGCTTTTTGGTTATTTGTTATTCTGTTGAGAGTTTTGTTATATGAACGGTTATGCTGAATGAATAGGGGGATTGAAATATCCATTTCAATTTCTATCTCGTTCTTTTTCTATAAGAGGTTGGTTCAGGCAATAAACAGAGTTATTTTATCCTTCCTCAACATTTTCGGTGCTTTCGTTGAGAGAAGCCATTCATGGCCGAAGGACTCCGTTCCAAAGGTAACAAATCTGAAAATTCTACAAATCATTTCAATGAGGTTTTAAATCGTTTCGAGGAGGTTTGTGTGCGCCTTATGGCCTTGGAAAATCGTTCCCCATCACCGCAGTGAAGCTCTGACCCGAGAGAGCATTCCGTCCAGCGTTATCAACTCAAGCTCGATGTTCCGCGTTTTGACGATCATGACCCCCATGGTTGGCTATTCAAAATCACACAATTCTTTGACTATCACTTGACTCCGGCAGAAAAACGCATCGCCATCGCTTCTTTTTACCTTGATGGCCCAGCATTGACTTGGTATCAATGGTTGCACAAGAATGTCCAATTGATCTCATGAGAACATTTTGTTACTGCATTGGAAGCTTGGTTTGCTCCCATCGTGTACGACGATCCAAAAGGTAAGTTGTTCAAGCTCTCTCAGACCTTCGGTATTACTGCTTATCTCCATGAGTTTGAATCATTGGCTAACCATGTGGAGGGCTTGCCACTGACATTTCTTCTGAGCTATTTTGTTTCTGGCCTCCGGCCGGAAATTCGCTAGGAAGTGGTTGCTCTTCAACCTCTGACTTTGACACAAACAATTGGATTAGCTCATTTACACGAAGAAAGAATGATTGAAATAGTTTGAGTGCACAACCCGTGACCCATATCTCAATGGTTGCCTACCACGGTGCTCCGACCACCATCAACTTAGCAGCCCCCTTCAATCCAGAATCCTACTCCTTCGACAGTTACGTCACGCTCATTGCCACCTTTATTGTCGACACCACCACTGCGTACTCATTTTAAGCAATTGACAAAAGCAAAGATGATTGAGAAAAGAGAAAGGGGCCTTTGTTTTTATTGTGACCAACAACACTCAAGGAATCATCGTTCTCCAGCTTGTTTTTTCTTCCTTGTTGTTGTAGATGATGAACCTGGTGAGGATGTTTCTATTGGACACCTTTATTTAGACTTGGTACCACCTGAATCAAATCCCAGTGTTGGGGATCCAAGCGGGTTGGATTTGACCATTAGGCTCAACTCAGTCTTAATGCCTTATCAGGCTTAGGGGTGACACACACAATTTGAGTTTTGAACCATATCAATAAGAGATCTGTGAGTGTTTTAGTCGACGGAGGCAATAATACATAATTTCATTCAAGCAAAGCTTGCCACCTCTCTGGGCTTACCATAGAGTCCAACATCGTCATTGAAGGTCTTAGTTGGAAGCAGGGAGAAATTGACTTGCATGAAGGTTTGCAAGGAGGTTCAAATTGTCATTCAAGGGCATCATTTTTTTTGGATTTGTTTGTTCTTGACATGGGTGGGTTAAATATTGTAGTTGGAGCCCAAAGGTTGAAGCAACTGGGACCGATGCTAATGGATTATCAAAAGTTGACGATGAAATTTATGCATTACAATAAGCTTGTAGAGCTTAAGGGTACTGGGGATCACAATAAGGTTTCCTTATCATTGACCCAACTGCAACAGTTGGTTTAGACGAGAGGTGCAACCTAACTATATTCTTGACATGTAAAGCCATTCGAGTTGGATCAAGCCCACATTCAGTTAGATCATGATGATGAGAGGATTCAGATGCTACTTCAGGAGTTCTCCCAACTTTTCAGTGATTCAACTTCACTCCCTCCTCGACGCCCATTTGACCACTCAATTCCGCTTCTCTCTGCGATGGCCCTAGTGAACGTAAAACCTACCGTTACCCTTATGTCTAGAAGTTTGAGATTGAACGACAAGTGGAGAAACTCCTTGCTAAAGGGTGGATTCGACCTAGTACGAGTCTTCTCTCCTCTCCAGTATTATTGTTGAAGAAGAAAGATGGAGGATGGCGGATGTGCGTAGATTATCGTGCTTTAAATGCGATTACAGTCAAGGATGAGTTGGGTATTGCTAGGTATTTCTCTAAATTGGATCTTATGTCCGACTTCCATTAAATACGCCTCCAACTTGCTGATGAGTTCAAGACAGCCTTTCGTACTCACTCGGGACATTATGAATATAAGGTCATGTCGTTTGGCCTTTGTAATGCACCCTCCACCTTTCAAGTCACCATGAATGAAATTTTCAAGCCTTTGTTGCGAAAAAATGTCATCATTTTCTTTGATGACATCTTAGTATTTAGTTTTGATCTGGAGACTCATTTAGGCGATTTGTGTTTGGTTTTTGAGACTTTGAACCACCATGGATTTTTTCTTGAAGCCGGAGAAGTGTTCAATTGGCAGGTTACGAGTTGATTATTTGGGTCACGTTGTGGTTGGTGGCACTGTAGCTTCCGATCCCAGTAAGATTCAGGCGATAGTTGAGTGGCTTATTCCTCATACTCTCAAGAGTCTTCGAGGGTTTTTGAGGCTTACTTGGTTTTACCAAAAATTTATCAAGGGATATGCCACTATCGCTTTTCCCTTGATTAATCTCCTTCGCAAGGGCTCTTTCAAGTGGGGGAATGAGGCTCAATTTGCATTTGATACTCTAAAAGTTGCCATGGTTTTTGCCCCAGTTTTACAATTGTCTAATTTTGATCAATTGTTCATTGTCCAGACGAATGCATCTAGTACTGCTACGGGGGTAGTTTTGCTTCAAAATGGGCAACCCATTTCTTTTTTCAGCAAAGTGTTTAGTTAGCGCATGTCTATGGCTTCCGCTTATTTACGTGAATTGCATGCTGGAGACAGTATCTGATTGGCCAACGCTTCATCATTCAAACCGATCAACAAAGTCTTAAGGAGCTACTAACTCAAGTAATTCAAACACCTGAACAACAATTTTATTTGGCTAAATTACTTGGGTATGATTATGAAATATAGTACAAACCGAGGAACACGAATGTTGTTGTTGATGCTTTATCACGCTCAGTGGGTCCTTTTCATGCCGCACTACATTATATCTAACTGTGATCCACTATTCATTAGCAGCTTTTGGAAGCAATTATTTAAATTAAGTGGAACAGTTATGTGAATGAGTTCTGCTTATCATCTGGATACTGGCGGACAAATAGAAGTGATGAATCGTACCATTGAGCAATATTTGCGGGCTTACATGCACCATAAGCCAACACAGTGGACCCGTTTTCTTCCATGGGTGGAATTCCATTATAATACTTCTACCCACTGTCATTCTGGGTTGACTCCTTTCCAAATTATTTACAATAAGCCCCCACCCTCCATTCGTCAATATGGCACTGGTATTGCTTATGTCGTTGCTACAAATTCCTTACTTACTACTCCTGAGTAGCTCGTGACCTTCCTCCATGGAAAATTGAGGAAGGCACAAATTCGTATGAGAGAGTTGGCTGACCAGAACAAAAGAGAGGTGAATTTTAAAATTGATTCCTGGGTTTATGTCAAATTACGGCCGTATCGTCAAATCACACTTACCAGAGAAAAATATCACAAGTTATCTAAGCAATTTTATGGCCCCTTCCAAATTTTGGTCAAGGTTGGGCCTGTTGCTCATAGATTGGCATTGCCTCCTTCCCGTATTCATAATATATTTCATTGTTCAATGTTGAAGCTTCACAAAGGCCCTCCTCCACAACAGCTTGATACTCTTCCTCCACTATCTATCAACAACAACTTTGTTGTTTCACCAATGCTAATTTTGGATACCAAGTTTGTTATTACTTATGGCTCACAAACCCTATCCAGCAAGAACAAAATCTCTCACTCCTTCATATCTGAATCCTTGACCAACAGAGAAAAAATCATGCTTTATCATTTTCGGTTGGGACATCCCTCTTTTGAAGTGATCAAAATTATGTTTTTCTCTCTGTTTAACAAGTTAGATGTTGAGAGTCTTCATTGTGAGGTGTGTGAACTTGCTAAGCACAAGCGTGTATCTTTTCCAATAAGTAATAGAATTAGGAATTTCCCTTTTTATCTTGTTCATACTGATGTATGGGGACCTTCTAATGTTTCAAATGTGTCTGGTGCTCGATGGTTTGTCACCTTTATAGATGATTGTACAAGGGTCACTTGGGTTTTCCTACTTAAACAAAAATCAGAAGTCAGTTTTGTCTTCCTAAACTTCCACTCCTTGATAAAAAATCAGTTTGGTGTTTATATTAAGAGACTTAGGTCAGATAATGCCAAAGATTACTTCAAACATGTCTTTAATTCTTTTTGTCAAAAAGAAGGTATAATTCATGAGTCCTCTTGTGTCAAAACACCACAGCAGAATGGGGTCGCAGAGAGGAAAAATGAACATCTATTAAATCAGACTCGGGCATTGTTATTCCAAAAAAGTGTTCCAAAAAATTTTTGGGAGGAAGTTGTCCTTACAGCAACATACCTTATCAATAGACTATCCTCAAGAGTCTTAGGATCAAAAAGCCCTATGGAAGCTTTGTCGTCTTTCTATCCAAACCTGTCCACTACAAATAATCTTAAACCAAGAGTTTTTGGGTGCATCTCATATGTCCATATTCATAGTACAGACAGGGGGAAACTTGATCCTAGAGCCTTAAAGTGTGTCTTTGTTGATTACTCACCCACTCAGAAAGGGTATAAATGCTACCACCCCCCATCCAAAAAATTCTGTGTCTAGGGATGTTATCTTCAATAAACAAGAGGACTATTTCCATCAACCTTATCTTCAGGGAGAGAGTTTCAGGGAAGATAAGGAAAGTAGTAATTCTGGTTTTCCCATTCTTCCAGACTTGATATTTGAACCTAAACGAGATTAAATTGAAACTGTAACAAGTGAAACAAGTCAAGGAATTGATCAAGAAAAGGAAGTTGGTCAAGAAAGTGAAATTAATTGTGAAGCTGATCAAGAAGATGTTGAAGCTGGAAAATTTGGTAAGCTGGTGTACTCAAGGAAGACTAAAGTCATTCCAGGATCAAGCCATGTTCAAGAATCCAACTCGACTCCACAAAAAGAGGTAACAATTTTTTCTCCAGCTGTGTAGGTTGAAATTGAAACCCAAAATGATCCTGACCTCCCAATTGCCATTAGAAAAGGGACAAGAAAATGCACCAAACAACCACTCTACCCTCTCTCAAATTACTTGTCCTTTAAAAATTTCTCTCCTACCCATAAAACCTTCCTAGTAAACCTAAACACTGTACTTCTACCTAATACCCTATCTAAGGCATTGTCTGACAGAAAATGGAGACAAGCCATGGATGTAGAGATGGAGGCATTGGAGAAGAACAACACTTGGGAGTTAGTCACCTTACCAATAGGAAAGAGGCCAATTGGATGTAAGTGGGTCTATACAGTGAAATACAAGGCTGATGGATCAATTGAGAGATATAAGGAAGACTAGTTGCCAAAGGGTTCACCCAAACCTATGGAGTTGATTATTTGGAGATCTTTGCTCCGGTTGCCAAAATGAACACAGTTAGGGTGATATTGTCCCTTGCTGCCAATTATGGTTGGAACTTGGAACAATTTGATGTTAAGAATGTTTTCCTACATGGAGACCTTAAAGAAGAAATTTATATGGAGATACCTCCGGGATATGGTAGAGATGTTGTTGCCAATACTGTTTGCAAGTTGAAAAAGACATTATATGGGCTAAAACAGTCCCCCTGTGCATGGTTTGGCAGGTTTACTAAAGTTATGACAGGTCTAGGTTACAAACAAAGCTAAGGGGACCATACTTTGTTCTTTAAACATTCCAAGTCAGGGGGAGTAACAATATTATTGGTGTATGTGGATGACATAATATTAACTGGAGATAATAAAGAACAGCAGCAATTGTTGAGTCAATGCTTAGCAAGGAATTTGAGATCAAGACCTTGGAAAAACTAAAATATTTTTTGGGAATTGAAGTTGCCCACTCCAAGAAAGGGATATTTATATCCCAGCAGAAATACATCACTGATTTGCTCAAGGAAACTGGCAAGGCAGCTTGCAAACCTGCTAGTATTCCATTAGAACCAAACCTAAAGCTTGGAAATGCAGAAGAAGATGTTGTTGTTGAAAAAAATATGTACCAGCGATTAGTGGGCAGACTTGTATATTTGTCGCATACCAGGCCAGATATTGCCTATGCAGTGAGTTTAATTATCCAATTTATGCATAACCCAAAGGAGACCCATTTACAAGCAGCCCACAGAATTATACAGTATCTTAAAGGAACTCCAGGAAGAGGGATTCTATTCAAAAGGAATGGTAATGTGAAGCTTGAAGCCTATACTGATGTTGATTATGCAGGGTCAATTGTGGATAGGAGGTCAACTACGGGATATTGCACCTTTCTTGGAGGAAATTTTGTGACTTGGAGAAGCAAAAAGCAGGGTGTATTGGCTCAGTCCAGTATTGAAGCGGAATTCCAAGCCATGGCACAAGGTATATCTGAGTTGCTATGGCTTAAAATCATCTTAGAAGACTTGAGGATAAAATAGGAAGAACCTATGAAGTTCTATTGTGATAATAAGTCAGCAATCAGCATAGCCCACAACCCAATGCAGCATGATAGAACAAAGCATATTGAAGTAGACAGATACTTCATCAAAGAAAAGCTTGATAGTGACTTGATATGCACTCCACATGTGTCCTCTCAAGACCAAATTGCAGACATTCTTACCAAAGGACTGAACTGCCACAATTTTGAAAAGATTGTATCCAAGCTGGGAATGGAAAACACCTATTCATCAGCTTGAGGGGGAGTGTGAGGAATCAAATAGTATTTTAGGAAAGAATAAATTAGGAAATTTGTAATCTATATAGATTTGAACAATTAGGAACAATCTCATAAATCAAGGGATCCTAGAATAAAATAGATTTATTATATTTTTTAAAATAGCTTAGGTATCCTGTATATATCTTGTATGATCTTTTTGTATTAAAATAATAAAATAAGATTTCATTTAATTTAATTTTTCAGATAAACCGTTATGCTGAATGAATAGGGGGTCGGAATATCCATTTCAATTTCTATCTCGTTCTTTTTCTATAGGAGGTTGGTTATGCCTCTAAACAGAGATATTTTATCCTTCCCCATCACACACAGAGGCATTGTTGAAATAATAATGCGTTGATTTAATTGTTTCAAATTTGATTGGGTTGTAGACTTCCCTGATGTTATTTGTTTCCAGGTTGCTGGATGTGAAGTTGCATCTAGTAAGATTGGTGAAATAATCTCTCTGGATGGTGGAGATGATCAGAAAATCAACTCTTTTTCTCCTATTCCTCATGAATTTTTTGATGATATGGAGTCTAAATGGAAAGGTAGAATAAACCGAATACACATAGATGATGTATTTTCTGCAGTTGAAAAGGCAGCTGAGGCCTTGCATATAGCAGTAGGTCTCTAGAACTACCTTGTCTATAGTTGTTTCGTGTAAGTATGTTTACAGAGATACTTTTTAGGATTAATTAATGCTCTCACAACATTATTGCAGGTCACTGAAGATTTTGTTCCTGTTATTTCTAGAATCAAGGCTACTGTAGCCTCACTAGGAGGTCCTAAGGGAGAAATATCTTATTCACGGGAACATGAGGCAGTTTGGTTCAAAGGCAAACGCTTTACACCAATTTTGTGGGCTGGTAGCCCTGGAGAGCAACAAATTAAACAACTTAGGCATGCTTTAGGTTCTAAAGGTAAAAAGGTAGGGGAGGAATGGTTTACCACACCGAAGGTAGAGGCTGCATTAACAAGGTGTGTTTCTTTTAAACCATGTGCAATCCTGTGCTAGTATTATTTTTATTATTTTAATTTCTTAATCATATATTGTAACAAAACACTGATTTTATTATGTAAAAGTGTAATGATAAAAATGATTCCAAGACTCTTTATTTACAAAAAGTTATATATATATATATATATATATATATATATATATATATATATATATACACACATACACACACACAGCCAAGTTACAAGTTAATTATAACAGTCTAACTAAAACAGTTATATAACCAGAGAAGAAACTATTGTAACTGCCTAATAAGCAGTTACACTAACTAGAACAGAAACTAACAGTTTTAGCAAATTGCTTACGGGGGGTATAAAATTCAGATATATATTGAGAAATTTATTTGTTTCAGGTATCATGAAGCAAATGCCAAAGCAAAAGAAAGAGTTTTGGATATTTTAAGGGGACTTGCCACTGAATTGCAATACAATATAAACATCCTTGTATTTTCTTCCACGTTGCTTATTATTGCCAAAGCATTGTTTGCACATGCAAGGTTTGTAAACATCTGTAGTTGCTTATTTTTGTGAATAGAATCCAATGATATTTTTCTTTTGCTGCATTGATTTTTTTACTATCTTGTTGGATTTGTTCTAGCAACAAGTTATTATTTGTCATCAATTTGTTTGACTGGATTTTAATTTTGTTAAATAATTTTAATGGCCATTTACTTTCAAGTGCACTTTTGTTGGAATATGGTTGTGTCAAGTTATTGGAAAACTTGAATTTTAACAATGAGAATTGTGTATTCCATTACATGATTTGTAGGGTATTTATACACTCGGATAACAAGATCGGTTAATGTAGTTGAGGGATTAGGATAAGTTATCTAATCTAAGGAATAATATCAAATTGTCAAATGATAAGCTTCATCATAGCAGTTAGATAAACCAAATATATGGGAATGGGAAGACAACATGACGGCATTACTATCAATCTCAGCATATGTTTGATAGTTATGTGTTGTTCATGGAGAATAACGCATATAGTGGTCAGATTTCATGAAAACGGTTATCTTTTCATGTGAAGATGAAATATACCACGACACCGGTCATCATCCAACATTTCAAGAACTTTGCAGAATTCTACTGTTTTTGAAATTTGGGTTGTAATTTGTCATCCGTGTTTTATCGTATTGAAACCACAACCATTTGCGTTCTCTTGATGTCTTGGAAGTTGTATTATATTAATTTTGTTAATTGATGTCTTGTAGTGAAGGGAGAAGAAGGAGATGGGTCTTTCCCGCACTAGTGCAATCTCACGGATTTGAGGTATTTTACAACTATTTGTCTCCATTGTTCTATTTTTGATTGATGAATAATGTTTATATGGAGAGTTATTGTTTATTTTTTTTCATTTGGTTTAATTAATCTTTTGATCTTGATTCTTGTGTCATCTTTTTGCGTAATGTAAAATTAAAATATAGAAATATATTGGGAAATGTAGATGCAGAAATATGTTGTGTATTTCTTGTTTTGGAAAAATACAAAGATGGTATAAATAGAATATAAAGGAATAAATCTATACACTAATCTATCCCTGAAAATCAGATAAATATTCTCTTTATAAATGTTGTCCATAGCTAAAGAAATAAATTTGATCATGTTAGCATTAAATCTAATTATGGGCAGTACAAATTAGAATTGAATGATTCTAATTGATATTGCGTTGATATGCAATAGGAGAGATTAAAAATGAGGAAAATAAATATTCAAATTTACATCCAATTGAAAATCCTTAAAATATCTAATCTACTATTAAATTTATTTGAAATTTAGAGTAACTAAGTGAAAAAAATAAAAATAAAAGATAAAATCTTCAACAATAACAAAATCACTATGTCAAACTTATTTAAAATTTAAAATTCATATAAAGAAAAATCTAATAGTTCTAACAAATTCCCATATTAAAAGTCCATGTTTTAGTTCTTATACGAGCAATATTTTATGCTTTAGTCCCTATTCTTAGTTTTCTGGCTATATAAAACACCCACAAAATAAGGACTTAAGGATTAAAACATAAAAATTACTCTTACAAGAATTGAAACGAAGTGTTTTTAGGTATAACGTATAAGCACTATACAAGGACCACAACGAAGAGTTTTTAGGTATAAGCTAAAAGGAAAGGTTGGGGTAGGTATAAATGCAAAAAGATAATTAAATCTTTCCTTTATTGTTCTGTACTGATCACTTGAGAAAATTGTTTAGGGTTTTAATATAGTGTCAAAAGACACTATTATTGTTGCATTTATAAAGAAGGAATACAAAAGAGAGGATATGGGCCATAGCCCAAAATCTTAACCCTAATTTAAGGAACATATACACAAACGAAACATAAGTTAAACATTAAAACATGACATATCTCACCACTTCCCCTCAAGCCAAGTTGGAGCATATAGATTGTATGCACCAAGCTTGCAACATATGAACTGAATTTTAGGTCATCTCAGGGATTTAGTTAAAATGTTCGCAAGTTGCCCATTAGAGCTCTCAATTACAAGTTCCTTGGACAATAACTCTCTTTGACAAAATGATAGTCAATCTCAATATGTTTTGTTTTTTCATTAAACACTAGACTATAGGCAATATGGAGAACCGCTTGATTTATCACAAAACAACTTCATCTATACATTATCACAAAATTTTAATTCTTGAAGGAGTTGTTTAATCCACACAAGTTCATATGTGCAAGAGCCATAGATCTTTACTCAACTTCAGCATTGGATTGGCAATAACACTTTGCATTTTACTCTTATAAGAGATCATATTCCCTCCAATAAATATACAATACCCCGTAGTAGATCTTTTATCAATGGGATAGTCAGTTGAATCTGCATCACAATAACCTAGGATTTGAGTATTATCTTTATTTTTATACAACAATCTTGTTTGAGAGTCCCTTTAACATATCTCAGAATGTGAATCAAAGCATCCTAGTGGTCAACACAAGGATTTTGCTTGAATTGGCTAACCATTCCAACTTCATAGGGGAGATTTGGTCCAGTAACAATGAGATAGATGAGTTTACCTACCAACCTCCTATATCTCTCTAAATCTGAGAATTTTTCTACTTTATCTCCCATCAATTTTTAATTAGGATTCATTGGACTATCAATGGGCTTACAATTTGTTAAACTTGTCTCCTTCGGGATGTCAAGGACATATTTTCTTTTTGAATGATCATGCCTTCCTTTGACTGAGTCACTTTAATACCAAGAAAATATTTCAATTGATGGATCTTAATGTAATCGTTGATTGTAATGACAATATTATCAACATAAACTATAAGATATACACATTTTTTTTAAGAGGTCTGACAATAAAATACAAAATGATTTGCCTCACTCCTTTTCAAGCCAAACATGTTCACAACATGATTGAATTTTCCAAACCAAGCTCGGGGTGACTACTTCACGAATGTTCTAAAATTAAGGTATGATCAGTCGTGGGAAAATGCTCCAATCTGTATTAAGCTCTCTGTTTCTTGTTCCCACCATTTGGGAAATCATATCTTGGACTCCTTTTAAAATTGTCATACCAACTTCCTCCACCAAGTCTCACAAAAGAATACATTTTTAGCATCAAATTGTAGCAATTCGGACACCTTGCCTTGCGTTATGGCAAATTAGTGTACCCTATTTCACTGTATATCCATCTACACACGAAGACCATTGCTGCCTACTGTTTCAATAACCTCCCATTTTCCATTCTTTACAAAGGCTATCATTTTCTAGTTCTTTGCTTCAACTCAATTCTTATCCTTTAATGGGTCTTTGATAATGGTGGGCCCTTACCATTATACTAGTACATAAACTAGAATCCCAGGACCCACAATTGGCAAGGTTTAAACATGCAGGCCCAAAGCCAACCAATTGTAGGGGGAAGGGGTGCGTCTGTACATGGGGAGTGTCAGTTACTGTGACATTCCATGTAATTCCACAATATAAATTCCTTTATGGTGTGGTTTTGTACTAAAGGGTGCTAAACTTGAATATTACGAGGACTTAGTTTTGAAGCTGGGCTTTTATGCAGTTCCTGTTTTGATCTTAGATGTGGAATATATTTTAGTCTATTACCCAATTACTAATTGTTCTTTATTAATAACCTATTTGGATTCATAATGTGATGACTACATGTTAAATTGTTGATGCAGGATGTGAAGTCATTGGACAAAATCCATGGGATGAAGATTGTTGGTTTATTACCTTATTGGTTCCACATAGCCGAAGATGTTGTGCGTAACGATGTTGATATGCAATCATTATTTCTTTTGACAGGACCAAATGGAGGTGGGAAATCAAGTTTACTGCGGTCAATTTGTGCTGCCGCACTACTTGGGATATGTGGACTCATGGTTCCTGCTGAATCTGCCCTGATTCCTTATTTCGACTCCATCACGCTACATATGAAGTCATATGATAGTCCAGCTGATAAAAAGAGTTCCTTTCAGGTTTTCTATTGGTTTATGCTTTACATTTATGTTCATCCATAGTGAGATAGTCTTTTATGTTTTGGTGTTTTTGCGTTTTGGTACATTAAGTGTTGAAAGTCTCAATCTGCTACTTTATGTTTTTAAAAGGTTCATTTCTATCCTTTTTTAATTAAAGCGTTAAATAGGTTAATAGAGTTGGTGACGTATATTAACAAAGTTTTAAAAGTTTCAATCCTGTACTTCATGATTTTATAAAGGTTCATTTTGGCCCTTTTTAACGAAAAGTTGAATAGGTATATATACATGCCAGTCAACTTTGTTAACCTATTAAATGTCTTTGTTAAAAAAGGCCTAAGTAAACCATTTTAAAAAAGTATCATCTTGAGACAGTTAAAACTTAATATATCAAAACATAAATGACTAAAAGTAACATTTAGCCTATTATATGGTATTAATTACACCCAAAGACACGAGTTTGGAGAGTGTTCATAAATTGGGAAAGAAGGAAAGAACAAGGCCATAGTCTGAACGAAACTAATTCCATCATCACATACACAAGTGGGTAACCTGCTTATTAAGCATGCTACAGCTATAGCTTCTTTCCAATATTAGTTCGCAACTAATATTTGACAGAGGATTGTTCTATGACTTAGAAGAGATGGCGATTTTTCTTTATGCAATACAAATTAATTTTTCTATTCTTCACTCTCTGTTTCTTGTCACAATACAGATTAGTTGCATGTGGCTTTATGGAATTAGCAAGCCCCATTGGAGGCAACATAATTATCTTTATAAAATTAAATAGTTTTCTGTTACTTTATGGAATTGCAATTCTATTAAGTGCCTTGAATATTTCATCCTTCTTAATATTTGTCTCAGGTGGAAATGTCAGAACTTCGATCCATCATTGGTGGAACCACTAAAAGTAGCCTTGTACTTGTTGATGAAATTTGCCGAGGAACAGAAACTGCGAAAGGGACTTGTATTGCTGGTAGTATCATTGAAACTCTTGAAAAAATTGGCTGTCTGGGTATTGTATCCACTCACTTGCATGGAATATTTATTTTGCCCCTAAACATAAAAAACACTGTGCACAAAGCAATGGGCACAACGTCCCGTAATGGACAGACAGTGCCTACGTGGAAGCTGACAGATGGAGTATGTAAAGAAAGTCTTGCTTTTGAAACTGCCAAGAATGAAGGAATGCCTGAGCCTATTATCAGAAGAGCTGAATATCTTTATGAGTCAGTTTATGCTAAGGAACTACTTTCTGAAGAAAATTTCCCAAATGAAGAAAAGTTTCCTATGTCCATCGATGTTAATAATTTGAATGGAACATTTCTTCATTCAAAAAGGTCCTTATCAGGAGCTAATCCAGTGGAAGTTTTACATGAGGAAGTTAAGAGTGCTGTTTCTGTGATATGCCGGGATCATGTAATGGAACAAAAAAGCAAAAATATTGCATTGGAGGTTACTGAGATAAAATGTCTCCTAATCAGGACAAGGGAGCAGCCACCTCCATCGGTTGTAGGTTCTTCTAGTGTCTATGTGATGCTCCGACCAGATAAGAAACTCTATGTAGGAGAGGTAAATCTCAACTTTTAGTATCTTTTGGTAATGTTTTTCCTTATTTATTTTCTTCCTTTATCTTTGAGTGACTACAAAGCAAGAAAAAAATATGGCACAATTTAGACAAAATTTATCTCTATTTAAAGTTGGTTGTTGAGAAATACAAAGGGGGTAGAGATCCCTAATCATCCTGGACTCTAATTTTTGTTCCAACTCTATCAAATTAATTCTGACCATCTAGCATTTTTCTTTCTTTTTGTTTCTCACGGAGTAGGAGCTAGTATAAATAATAATGTTTTGAACACTTCTCGTAGCCAATTTATATGGAAGAAAACAGAATTAATCAATAGCTATTAGTAATCGTTTTTAGCTAAAAGCAGAATTTAACAGATAGCTCACAGCTGAACCTAGCAATTTCTGTGTGAAATAGCTTCATATTGTAATAATACATAGGATGGGACCCAGAGTTTCCTGTTTGCTACCTATACTTATCGTGTGTATCCTCTTCATACACATCTTGCTTTTTACCTGCATTATATTGGTCATGCCTTTAGCACAATAAAGAAGAACTTGTAATTTATCAGAAGTATTATAAGGATTGCAATTTACTGATTTAGTTTGCTGCCATCATGGTCTCAAACCGTCTCTTCTGTGAATGTTTGCCAATTAGTTGATTTCTTTCTTGTTGGTACAAACTGTTGATAGACTGACGATCTTGAGGGCCGGGTCCGAGCACATCGATTGAAGGAAGGAATGCATGATGCATCATTCCTCTATTTCCTTGTTCCAGGAAAAAGCTTGGCATGCCAATTAGAATCTGTGCTCATCAACCAACTTTCTAGTCGAGGCTACCAACTAAGCAATACAGCTGATGGTAAACATAGGAATTTCGGCACTCTATAACCAACTAGATGACAGTCAATGGCAATTTTCTACCTCACTTCTGTATTGTTGCCAGTTTTACATAGCTGAACGACTTTAGTCATCTTTTCGTGCCGTGCACCAGGCAACGGTGATAACGCTTAGGGAGCGCAATGGTTGCAGCGTTTTTGTTAGAATTAGTTGCTGCTGCTATTTATGTCCATATCTTTGAATATGGAAGTTGTTTATTGTGGAAATTCTTTCAAATGTTAGAATCAGTGGTTTAAAAATTGGACAGGTAAGTGTTCGCTTCGGTGCCTCGGATATGTATCTTCCATTCCTAAATGGGTTAAGCTTTTGGTATTTCTTATTTAGTTACGTACTGCGTTCTGAATGTATTTAGGTTTTGCATTTTAATATTGCATTCTATGAAATTGAATTTTTTTCAGTATGAAAAATAATGATTAAAAAAGCTAGTTCGATATTCGAAAGTTAAAAAAAGAAGGAAAGAGACATTCAATATATTTGATGCAATGCAGATATGCAGAATTATTTAACGCTATAAAAACTTACAACAGAATGTAGTTCTAGCAGTTTTATGTCAATTTCAAAACATACGGCCCAGTGACGAAGCATCTAATCAGTTTTGCCACAGTACAAATATACGAAGTTACAAACACAGTAGAATAGATATCAACTTGTATATCAATCAGATAAAATTATACAAAAACACACAATATATAGGACAAATTGGAATTTATCCAATTTTATTCACCTGTCGGTTTTAATATGAATTCTGTCAAATCATGCACACAACTTTGAATCAGATATATTCATGATTGAGTAGATGCATCTTTCACAACTCTGTAATCAAGAATTTAAAATAGGCTTGTTAAGGGAAAAAAAATTGTCCAAAATAAAAGTTAATTTTAAATGAAAAATATATTTTTAAATTTTAATACAAGAATATTATTTTAATTTAAATTTAAAAAATAATAACTATTTTATAACACACGTAAACTTATAAGCATGCTTACCTAAACCTATATTATGTAATGTGTTAAATAAGTCATATCAAAATTAATTTGGTTAAATTTAGGTTATACTTTTTTTAAAGTCTTTCGGATTGTTTTATTATTGACTAAATATATTTTCACACCTAATTTAAATATATGATATCAGGAGAAGTAGGACGTGACATAGGTACATAGATGAATAAAATGTCAATTTCGTTTCTGCTCTGTTTTTTTTTTTTTAGATTACGTACATTAAAAACAAATTCTTTATAAATTATCAAACGAAAACCAAGATTTGTAAATTATATATAGTTTTTTTTAAGCTTATAAAAAAATTCAATAGATTGTGTTACTCCATATGAAGATTTTCAAAGGAGAAAGTTTATAACTTCTTTTCAAAACGTACTTTTTAGAGATTCTAGAACCTAATTTAAAGATTTCTAAATTTTAGAAAAGATTTTATATTTTCTTTATTTTTTATTTTAATATAACTTAAGAATGCTGCATAGGATTGATATGGGCTCAGGTCTAAAAAAATATAACAATACACCGTTTTTCAAATTCTTTTATCTTTAGAAACTCTCCTTTGATAACCAACTTTCAACCATGTAAAGAATTTCAAATGGTTGTATTGTAACAAATTAATCTACAAGAAACATCAATATCTGAAATATTATAATTAGCTATCTACCCCCTAAATCCTAAATATGATTGATTCGGGATTTACTAACAATTCCGACTTTATGCAAATCAGTGGAAGTCTTTAGTTCCAACACACCAGTTTTTGGAAATTAAATATTAAATGCAAGCTCTTCAAAACTTATTAACGTTCAACAGAAACAGATGAAAAATAAACAAAAACTTATAGAAAAGAAAAAAAAATCCTAATTCACAATAGTTAAAATTGATGAAACATCTACATCTTGAAAAAAAAAAAAAAAAAAAAACATGTATATAAGAGAAGAAGAAAAGAAGAATAATTAGAGAGTTCCAAAACTACATAAGTGAATAATTTGATCTAAATTAACCTAAATTTATATATACCATGAACTAAATATATCGGTCAAAATAAAAATAATTAAATTTAGATGACAATTTTTTTAATATAAATTAATAAAGCCTATATTATACCCTATTCAACAAGTTATCTCATAAATTCAATCTTTCTATGTATTTTCAAAGACATTAAACTAAATTTACAATGAAGGAATTTTTTTTTTCTTAAAACACTGATATTATGTGTAAAGCTAAGGATGATTTGAAAAATAAAAAAACTCTTAACATAAAATACCTTTCTTAAATATAAATGTATAATTTATTATTAATTTTTTTAATAATCATAGTTAAATTTCGTTGACTAATTCGTAGAAACGGACAATCTTAGAAAAGGTTCGATTTCTTAAATTGTGTGCCACTTTTCATTTATTTTTTCTTTTTTACTGTGTCCAGACACTTTAACACGGTAACATATAAAACCTTTATTTATTAGAAATAATCACTCGTTATACAAAAACAATTTATTATGGACTGATTACTCCTATCTTTCTTGAATTTCTACAGCCTGCAAATAAATATATATAAAAAAATTATATGATTAAATTTATGTTTATGTTCTTATATAAAATAACATGAAAGTGAACTCTTAGATATTTAGTAAAAAAATAAAAATAATAATCTTGAACACAAAGACTATAAAAGTAGGTTTATGATCAAGATTGAATAATAAAAAGTATGTTTAACCTAGTTTTTTTTCTGTCTCAAATCAAAGAAATTATACATTTTGTATTGAAAATATTTTGTTTTACAAACTCAATATGTAATTATTGAAAACAGAAGATGAATGAAATATAAAAATAATCATCTATCCTACATATATTATATTCTATAATTTTGAAAGAAAATCTTGTGTTTTTTGTTTATTTTTAAAATGTAGAAGGAATATTATTATGGAGAATTAAGTGATTTAGATAAAATGATTAATATAATTAATAGACATTATAATAAAATTCAAATTATCATTAAATACTATTGAGATTTTCAAGAGTAATAAATGTTTTTCTGTTGGAAATCACATGACTTTCTATCTATATTAAAATATTAATTAATTGTTTCAAGTTTACTGGCTATGCACAATAAATCACATCTTTTTTTTCATAAATCTTTTGGCATCATCCAACCCGTTTCACCTCATCAATAAATCCATCCATGTCTCACCTGTCACTCCATCGTCCACATAATTATCTCACTCTTCTAGACAACATACACATCCTCTCTTCATAAATAGGGCTTTTTAGAACTCTCAAACACCTAACTCAAGTGAAGTAAGTTCAAGTTTTGAAAGTACCTTAGATTTCAATTTTTTCTGCATTTATTTGTTTTTGTTGATTTGCATGCAACTCTACGATCGATGTTCATTCATTAATCTGTTCATGGTGGTTGAATTTCAGGTGCAATTGTATAACTTGTAAGTCTAACAATGTCTGGAGTGAGAGAGCAAGATCAATACATGCCAATAGCAAACGTTTTAAGGATCATGCGAAGGATTTTGCCACCGCATGCAAAGATCTCAGATGAAGCAAAAGAAACCATCCAAGAATGTGTGTCTGAATACATCAGTTTCATAACTGCAGAAGCAAATGATCGCTGCCAGCACGAGCAGCGCAAGACTGTGACAGCTGAAGATGTGTTGTGGGCGATGGCAAAGCTTGGCTTCGATGAATATGCTCACTCTCTTACCATCTACCTTAATCGCTACCGTCAAAGTGAAGGACAACAACGCATTTCCATGAGACGTGGTTCTACTTCTATGCCTCAAATGGAGATGCCTCCACCTTACTCTCATCCTCATGGTTTTGAAATGTTCAACTTTGATCCCTCACATGCCTCAGCTTCTGCTTCTCATGCTTCTGGATCAGATGGATATGTTCCCACCTTTGATCCTTATGCTAGCTTAAATACTAACTTAAACCTCACTGATGATGGTGCTATGTGACTGAGTTTGTTTCTGCATGCAGCTATGAGACTGAGTTCAATGATTCAGATATGAAATTACTACAGTAGCATGCATCCACTGCTGTAAGTCTTCGTTTATCTTATGTTGTTGGTGTGTTTTGCATAGAGACAGTACTTGTCTTGTGATGTTAACGTTGTGTTCGTTGTAGATCCTTTACATTGTTCATACTTTGTATATGGTTAACTCTACAATGACAAATAAATTCAAAGTTTATTTCATATTTTGTAATAATCATGTTTGAGTATATAACATTTATGTTGTGAGTATTCAACATATAATTCATATGAACCTAAGAAAAAAATATCATCAAACACCTTTCTTTCTTTCTTTTCATAGATATTTTAATGTAAAAAATAACAAATTAAAATTATTTATTTATGAATAAATAGATATGGGTGGAGATGAGAAATTAAATAGATAGGTCCCTCCCAACTTGTGCACATAAAAACAATCCAACAAAACTCGGAACGCAACTCACACAGAGTGACTCGTGACAACTCAACGTGCGACAAAACTGACCTGACATGACACATAGTAACACTGTTCGGCTCAAGAATTATATAAATTTAAGCAAATAAAAATGAAAATAAAATAAAGAAAGTTTGCTTGAATAAATAAAAATAGTTTAAAAATAAATAAATTACAAACATGAAGAATTTTGTACTTTAATATACAATAACTATTTTCAGTGGAAGTTTTATTTAGGTATTAAATTTCATGGTATTATTATTAATAAAGTATATTAAAGCTAATCAATGAATTTAATAAAACTTATTAGATAATAACAACTATATTAAATGGGGTCTTAAATGGTTGAAAATAGGTTGGTGAAAAATTCTCTCAGCCTATATCACAAAAATAAAGCCTAAATAACTTTTTGCATAAAAGAAGAATTGGTCAATGGAAAATTTTTTTCTTTTAGAAGTCAAACAAAAATAACTCCACTAAAATAATCTATTAAAAACTTAAATAATTTTGGTCTACATCTCTTAAAAAATAATCTCAATAATATCAGTAGAGAAATAATCCTTATCAATTCAACTAATTAAATACCCCAATTTAAATTAGTTGAAAAATAGTATTACTAATATAAAAAAGAAATCTTTATTTATATCAATTGAAAAATAAATTTTCTGACGTTTATCAAGAAAATATTGTTTAACATTCCCGAACTATGGTAAAAAAAAATCAACAAAAATGTTTTCGATATATATAGTTTATATCAATTTAACATCGACCAATAAATGTTACTAATGTTAGCGCGAAGAAAACAATATGTATGTAAACTTAGAAATAGCACAGGTCTAAAGAATTTCACATCTACCTAAAAGTACATGCTACATGACTTCTAGCAATAAATGTAAGTGTTCTTTCTTACAAAGTCACTCATGCTTTCATATAATAGGAAAAGTTTGAAGTAAACCCTTACAACACTCGGATAATGTTATTTGATCAAGCACTTGATCAAAGCATTTGAAATGAGAATGTTATTGTTTTTGTCCCTTTTTGAGATTCGACATAGTAGTTGATGAATTTTCTTACTATAAGTGCAATTGTATTCTTAACTTCTTAAACGGTATATTAGACTAAAACATATGTTTTATAGCTTTTTTTATGCTAATATGATTTCACTAGAGTGTTTTTATTTTAAAAATATAAAATATAAATTTAGTGTGTCACATAATTTTTAAGTAATTTATTTTTTATTTTATTTAAATAAAAATAAATTTTAAACAACTCATTCTCTCCTTTCTTTATGTAGATATTCTAAAATAGGTTAATTGTATATCTTCTACACATACTTCGTGACATAATTAAAAAAGTTATAAAATTTATATAAATTGTGATCATCAAAATTTAGGACAATATTAGATACAACTCTTTTAGTTGAAAAAATGCCACATGATCTAAAGTGTATAGTCCCTCGACAAAATATATTTCAAGTAGCGACCAATTTGATTGGTGAAGAAAATTCTAGACATAAAACATTTAGCGACAGAAATAACTGTCACTAAATATTGAGAAAGAACTTGATCAGATTTGGTGACGGGAGTTTGTTCGGTTCGGTCTCTAACTTGGTGACAACATCTGAAAATAATAGCAAGGATTTATTTCCGCTGCAAAATATTAATATGAAAATGTTATATTTCGGTCGCTAATATGTCGCAGTTTAGTGACTAATATGATTTTATACTTTGAGACAAAAGTTCTGGTCGCTAATTAGATAATAATACAATGTTAAATAACAAAACATTTTAGTGCTATAATTAATTTAGTTTGAATTAAAATATATATTTGTATTATTAGTTTAACACTCAAATGAAGAATTATAATTTTTAATTATTACAATAATATATTTAAATATTTAATTTTAAAATGCTACTAATCAGTTGTAAATATATAACTTATTATGAAAAAATTTATTTTGATTAAATCTTTAACTAGATTCATGAGAGAAATAGTTTAACATATTATCCTTAAAATTTATTCTATGACAATGATTATCATATCACAAAAAATTAATTAATAGTTTAATTTAATGGTCATAGTTTTAAGATCTCCCTCCAAAAAGACATGATGTTTTCAAAGTTACAACAATTATTGAGAAGGAAGACAATGCATCCACTCCTTCTTCTGTTATGAGTCATACTTTCATTAGGGTTTGTGCTCATGGTTGCACCAAGAGCATTATTCGTGAAACCTCATTCATGGAATCACAAGAATCTAGCAAAATGATGGATGAAAGGTTCTAACTCTTAAAAATGGAGGAACTGCCATTGAGTGAAATTATTTTGTGTGGTTCATAACAATGTCACTGTTTGACTCAATAATAAACATAACCTAAATTTTCATTTTTTTATTTAAAACTGAAACTTCCTCCAAAAATACATACTTATGTTATTATTTTTTTTTCTATCTATACCTAACATATTTACATAAAAGTATAAAGCTGAGAAATGTTGTCTGATTCCTTCATCTTTTTATTTTAAGTCACATCAATAAAATCTAAACATTCTTGATAAGAGTTTATGTATTTATTAGACACTCCGTACCATACTTCGTCTTTGACTTTAATTTTAACCTTACATGCTCAATGTCTTTTCAATTATTTTGTTGGTAATTAACTTCACTTTTTTTATGCTAATTAATTACTTTTTATTTGTGAGTGTATATTAATGTGCGTGGGATTTGATTTTTGAAATTTAACTACAGGGTTAGCATTAAATCTATCAAAATTTTCTAGACATTATTGATTTAGTTTTATTTTTTAATTTTTGAAAATGGTTTTAGTGATTAATTAATTTTAACAATTTGTTTTAGAGGATCAGTTCAAAAAGAAAAATTGTTTAATAATTATAGTTTAAAAACTATTTTGAATAGAAAATGGCGAGTTTGAGGTGACAAAGAACCATAATGAAAATTAAAGAACAATGAAACTGAAACTATTAATAAAAACAGAAAACATATTTTATAATTTTTATTGTAGTTTTTAATAATAAAAATAGAATTATATTGTGTAAGCGTAATCTATATTTATATACAGGAGTTTTTTATATATTTAAAAAAATAGTAAAATATGAGAGAGAAAATCAATTAAAAAATTGGATATAAAGAGTAAATAGAAAAACAATAAAAATTTAAATGAAATTAATTATAAAAATAGGACATATAAATGCTTTAGGACCTGTTTCCATTAATAATAATAAATTAAATACATATATATGATTTATAATTTTTTAAAATATTTTATGCATCAATAAAACGACAACAGATAGAAAATTTTGAAACAATTATTTATGCAGTGAAAAATATAAATAAATTATATAAAATATTGTATAAGTATATATAACTCTAAATTATATCAGTGTTGAGGCAAGTTTTTTTTTTCTAACATGTTGTTGGATGCATCTTCTCTCATTACCTTCAGCTTTACAAAATCTGGCACAGAATGTAAAAAATTCAATAAAATGGCACGTCATTTTGTAGCCATATCTTCTGCTGCTGCATTTCTAATCGCAGACAAATTCTATGTACTATCATCTATTTTGTCATCTTATTTCTCACAATGTATCAGTCAACAGAAAACCATGATTTTATATATGCATTAGATATATGAGCCAATTTCCATGTGCTATATATATCATTCTTCAAATTTGTCAGGTTATAATAAGAATATCTATTTATGTAAGCATGATTTGGACATTTTAAAATGCATAAGAATGCCAACTTTTGGAATGAATTGGAAGTTAGAAGAGAAACAAACACAAAGAGACACATTTGAAGAACATTCACATGGTGTCATATTAAACCGTTATTAGTATTTTATTCGATCTAGTGAAGCACTATTCCATCAATCATTCAAGGATTATTATTATTCTTCTTCTTGATCTCCTCGAGATTAGACAAAAGAAAAGCCAATCAACAACCACTGTTCACTGTCCATTCAAACAGACAGACCGTCCTCTCCTCTTTTTCCTCACTACCTCGTTATTGGCAGAACACCCTCCTTTTATACACTTCCCTCTTTTCTTTTTTTCACCCTCTTTTCTCTTTGTCTTTCCATCATCAAGTTTTGAGCTTATTTGTGACAAAAGCAATTATTCCATTCACTGTGATTAAAGCTACCTTGTTGCTTTGCAACATTTTTTATAGTACCACAAGATTGAATAGAAGCAGCTTTTGATAATCCACATAACTTTACATACATATCTCAGAGAGAGAGAGAGAGAGAGAGAAAGTTGCATCACATGCAATCCACTTTCACATGCAAAGCCAAAATTTCCCTAAGCAACAAGAAAGGCATAAAACCCTCATCATATCAATGGCGCAGACACTAGTCTTGGTATCCTCAAATGCACTAGTATAAGCTAGCACTATATCTATATATATATAAATCTGCATCTTCCTCATACTACCAATATCTTAACTATAAAATTTTATTATTGCTTTCAACCCAAAATTGATGAACCTCATTGAACCAAACCCCATTTAAGTTATTTCTTCTAAACCTGACATCTCTCTAGTCAAGAGTCTTCAAAATACTGAGATCCATTAAGTTAGGATCAATCAAAACTCCAAATTCTCTTTGTGGTGGAAACAATAAATTGGAAAGATGAGAGCAGGAGTTTGTAGCATACAGCTACAAGCTTTGACGCCAGAGGCTGCAGCCCTAGTTAAGCAAGCTGTTACTCTTGCCACAAGAAGAGGACATGCTCAAGTGACCCCTCTTCATATTGCTACTGTCATGCTTGCTACTTCCACTGGCCTTCTCCGTAAAGCTTGCCTTCAATGCCACTCTCACCCTCTTCAATACAAGGCATTAGAACTTTGCTTCAATGTTTCCCTCAACCGTTTGCCTGCATCCACACCGAGCCCTCTTTTGAGTACTTCATATTCCACCACTCCCTCACTCTCCAATGCCTTAGTTGCGGCCTTCAAGCGAGCTCAGGCTCACCAACGCCGTGGCTCCATTGAGAACCAGCAGCAACCCATTCTGGCCTTGAAGATTGAGGTGGAGCAGCTCATAGTCTCTATCCTTGATGACCCTAGTATTAGCAGGGTCATGAGAGAAGCTGGTTTCTCTAGTGCCCTTGTTAAAACCAGGGTTGAACAAACTGTTTCAATGGAAGTTTGTTCACAAGAACAAGCATCCAAGGAAAACACTAGCAAGATTCAAGTTCTTGGTGGTAGAAACATGTCCCCACCAAGATCTCTTAGTCAATTTGGGGGCTCATTCATCAAGTCTATGGACCATGTTGATAATGAGGTTGCTTGTATAGATGATGCAAATAGTGCTTTGAATGAACTTGTGAGCAAGAGGAGAAACACAGTCATTGTTGGGGAGAGTCTTGCTAGTGCCGAGGGAGTAGCTAGGGGAGTGATGGAAAGGTTGGAGAGAGGGAATGTTCAAGGAGAGTTGAGGTTTGTGCAATTTGTGAGTCTTCCTCTTGTCTCCTTCAGGAACATTAGCAAGGAGGAGGTTGAAAGGAAGCTAGTAGAGCTTAGAAGCCTAGTAAAATGTCACGTGGGAAGAGGGTTTATTCTATACTTGGGTGATCTCAAGTGGTTGTTTGAGTTCTGGTCAAGTTATTGTGAGCAAAGAACAAATTATTACAATTCCGTGGAGCATATGGTGATGGAGCTTAAAAAATTGATTAGTGGAAACGGGGAGAATGTAAGATTGTGGTTAATGGGGATAGCAACTCTTAGAACATACATGAAGGGCAAAGCATGTCACCCCTCCCTTGAAACTATTTGGGATCTTCACCCTTTTACAGTTCCGGTTGGTAGCCTGAGCCTTGGTTTAAATTTTGATAGGTAATTATCATTCTTCTGTAATTCTATATTTCTGCTTCAAATACTTGTATTGTTATTTTTATTATTATTATTACTAGTGAATGCATTGTAGTGATATTTTGGTTTTGTTTTTCTTTGTTTGTTTTAGCGATTTTCAAGTTCAGGAGAGAAGCAAGGTAACATTCAAGGACGAATCTTTTGAAGAACGTGCCAAAGTGCGCAAACAACTAACTTGCTGCAGAGATTGCTCATTGAATTTTGAAAAAGAGGCTAAAAGCATCGCTAGTAGTATTACTATAAGCAATAGAGATTGCACTACTAGCTTGCCAACATGGCTCAAAAATTGCAAGGAAGAGAGAAGTCACGTGATGGATAATCAGGTTATTATCACTATTAATTAACCACTATTAATTCAAAACAATTAATGATAAAGTATTAATTTATGGACCAAAGTGTAGAAACTGATGTTTATGTGTTTTTGTTTTTGAACCAGGAGAATGCTAAGCTTAGGGATATCTGCAAGAAATGGAACTCATTTTGCAGTTCAGCACATGGATATCCCTCCAATCTTGAGAAGCAATTTTTGTTGATTTCATCCTCACCTTCATCCCCTACTTCATTCTCTTCACATGAAAGAAAGTGTAGCTTGAATCTTAGCCACCGAAATTGGCCAGTCATTTCAGAACCAAAAGAAGAACCTAAAGAATGTAATTTATACACTGAGACTACTGTTAGTGATGAGTGTTATGAAGGAAACTTGATAATGTTCATGCCAGAGAGAAACATCCCTAAGCCAGATCTTTTGTCTAATCCCAATTCTAGCCCCAATTCTGCTTCTTCAAGTGAGGCAGTGGAAGGTTTGGATAGCACTCAAATGTTCAAGGAACATAATGATGAGAATCTCAAGATTCTCAGTGATTCATTGCAGAAAAAGGTTACACAAAATAAAGAAATGGCTAAGGAGATTGCTAGCACTGTGCTTCTTTGCAGGTCAGGAATGAGAAAAGGAGATAATCACTTGGTGAAGAGAGAAGATAGACAAGAAACTTGGTTTTTCTTTCTAGGTATGGATTATAAAGCAAAAGAAATGGTCTCAAAAGAGCTTGCTAAAGTTGTCTTTGGCTCTTATAGTAACTTCCACTCCATTGGTGTAAGCAGTTTCTCTACCTCAAGAGGTGGTGATTCGACTAATGAGGAGTCCAAAAGTAAAAGACCAAGAGATGAGTTTGGTGGCAGTTATCTTCAAAGATTTGGGGAAGCTGTAAATGAGAATCCTCATAGGGTGTTCTTCATGGAAGATTTGGAGCAAGTTGATCACTTTTCAAAAAAGGGTGTTAAGAAAGCAATTGAAAGTGGAACTATAACCCTTCCTGGGGGTGAATCTGTGCCTCTCAAGGATGCAATTGTCATTTTCAGCTGTGAAAGCTTTAGTTCAGTGTCAAGAGCCTCTTCTCCTGCAAGAACTACTTCTCCATCTTCTGATGAAAACTTGGAGAAAGAGAATATCAATGACTCAGAGGAGAAAATTCCATGGCTTTCTCTGGATCTGAACATGGCCATTGAAGTTGATGCACCAAAAAATGTGCATTTAGATGGAGTCACTGCTGAGATCCTGGAGTTAGTTGATAAGAAAATTAAGTTTAAAATATGAGAGGAGAAATAATTTTCTGTTTTTCTTTTTCTTTTGGGGTGATACTTTGGTTCTATATATATTTTCCACTTGTTTAGTGTTGCTTAGTTAACATTTGGTGAGGGAAATATAGGTACAGTTTTATGTGTAATTTCCAAGTTTGGATGGGGGTGGTAAACTTAGGGATGCATCTGTATATACGTTAAGTAATCTGATCTTAATTTTTCATGTGGTAGTGTGCTCATTGTTTATGTTAATAACCGATGTAAATTAATGCATTTTCACGAATTTTATCCTTTAATTGCAGGTATCTCTCTCTCACAAACACACATTATTGTCATCTGATCAATACAATGCTAATTAAATTAACGTATTATTTTAAGTTTTACAAGCAAATTGATTTAAACATATCATTTATAAACTCTTGGCGGTTAAGAACGACATAGAAAGTTGAAAATTAGTTCCAATGTTTTTCAAGCAAAATAATTAATATGATCGTATGTAACTGTAGCATGAGACAGAAAGTTAAAAATTTCATTTTTCTTTCTAGAAATTCAGAATGCTTGAGCGTGTGAAGGCATGATTTTGTTTAATCTTTCAAATATGCTGTGACGAGTTTTAATTATTTTGGGTGATAGAAAGATGAACCTTTTACGTTCTCATGTAATAATCTATGTTGATAAAAATAATCGTCAATATGTGAAAAAGAAAAATCAATAACACATATAAAGATTTTCATTTCTTAAAATCATATATAGTTTCTTTATAACTTCTTTTATCTTACTTCTTTTTAGTTTTAAGTTTATAAGAGAATTTCTCAACATTTTTATCAGTCAAAGTATATGAGATAGAATATGGTCTATGTAGGTCAATCATGATATTATTTTACATGTGATATCAAATGAAAAAAAAAATTAGGGTAGAAGAATTGTTTTATTTAAAAGTTGATTGGTGTTAAGTTGGTTTAGGGAAATATTTTGATAACCATAAACCAGAGTGTTTGAGATTTATTCGTGATGGTAAATTTTTTATTTATGTTGAATGCATGTTGTGGATTTGTCTTCAATTTCACAAATTGATATGTTTTGAACAAGTGAATAAGTTGATTACACGCAGAAACAAAATTAAGTTAATTAGGTTAGGTGAGACTTTGAAATTTGGGTTGACATTACATAAAAAATTAAGTTTTGTTCTACGTAGTTTGTCCAACAAATTTAGTTTTTGTTTGCTGAATTTGAGACAACGTTGCAATTGTGTAATTTTTACCTAATGCTTTGATATTTTGTTTAACCATTATGGCAAAAAAGAGTTTTTACTATTATTAAATTCTCTCTTTAATGCTAATTTAAGAGTTGATGATATAATTGTTGCTAAAAATAGTATTTTTATTTACTATTGATAATTGTCATTTAATGTTGAACATATACTATATATGTAGTTGAAATAAAAATTATTATGACATGTGTTTTTTTAAGTATTTTAATAATGGTGCTAATAATGCTGTCAACTATGATCTTGACAAGAGTTTTAATATTGTATCAAATATTTTTTATAATAAAAATTTAAAATTAATTTAATAACAAAAATAATACCACATTTTTTCAACAAAGGTGTTCTAATAATTGTTATTAAAAGATATGCATATTTAGTAAACAAATTAATGTAAGATACCCAATTCTATGAATATTCCACATAGCAAAAATTGTGTAAAAATCGAAAACAAGAGTTTGTTTATATAATCCATCCAAATATTTTAAAATTCAATTAAGTCATTTCAAATCCGCTTAGCACTTATAAAATTCGCTAAAAGAAAGTTATATAAAAAATATTTAGGACTCCAAAAGTTTCAAATGCTTAAGCTTCTTATAATTCAATGATTTTATTTTATTATCTTTGATGTTTTTAACAATTTGAGAAGATTAAAAATATCATGTGATAGATATTGAATTAATTTATTATTATAGAATATCATATGCTAGGAAACTATAGTAGTATTAAGGGGGCACTAATGAATTTGATTAAGCATATTGTGATTATTAAATTATGTGACCATAGATTATAATAAAAGCCGATCAAAATTCTTGTCATATAATTAGGATAGAAATATGTTATAGAAAAATTACCTTCTTGTATGTAAATTTTAGTTCATGTAATTTTGTTAAAAATATGATGTATCACTTTTATTAGACAGATAACAGATTTTGTGTTTATGAGATTATTTTGGAAATTAGAATTTTGGGATATATGATAATTGTTGTAATATATATATATATATATATATATATATATATATATATATATATATATATATATTAATGTATGTATATATTTGTTTTGTTTTGCATTGTATTTATATAGTCAAAAGATTATATGTGTATTGTGTCTATCCAGTCATTAAATTCTAAAATATAATCTTTCGGTTAAATCCCCTTATTAGGTGATCGTGGAAAACATATAAACGAGACTTAGGAGTTGAAATTCATCAATAAGACCCAAACATGGTATTATAAATAAAACATAGATCTCAAGGTAAAATAGTTAGCAAATTAATGGTGAATATATTGTGTTTAAAATATTATTGACTTGAGTGTCAAAATATCTTTTATAGGTCTGTCGATCACTCCACATGTCGAAGAGCTCGAGCACACCGACAATTGCATGTTCAAGGACTTGGAACAACTTCCAAAATGGATTTGGAAGTACACCATGGAAATTAGTGTCATGGGAGACTCTTAGTCTTGTAATACCATTTTGGCGCTATCGTGAGGTTGAGAGTGAAGTTTTGTTCCATTCTTATACCTTAATCCTGGACTAAAGGCTATATTTCGAGATGTTCATAAGTTTCACATCGTTTAAAAGTCGAGATCAAAGATAATTTATATACATCTTTATCTTTTAACCCACTGAGACATCACTGATACGTTTTTATAAGACAAAAAAACAGTAATAGACAAAAACTAAAAAATGAATAATATTTCAATCGTAAAAAGTGACCCTAGATATAAGACTGAGATACTCTCATTCTTAGACGTAACATATTTAATTATGAAATTCTTATGAAAATGAAATTAATGTATATATTTCTAACAATGAATATAGGTTTATATATATTCAAATTGATTTAAATAATGATAAGTGGAAACTTTCACAAGTGTTAAACACACTAGGAATATATATATATATTATTCCTCATGCAGAATGTGTAGGTAAAAGCTGGAAGATGATTTATGTGAAAACTAGAGTTATTTTAGTCGACGTAAGTGGCAAAATGAGATATGCAGCCACCCCCATAAGACTCTTATGACACTTGGAACAAGTCTTTTAAGGAAACAAGAGTTGTCAAAAGGTTAAAGAATTATTCATAGCGTAAGCATTCAGCAAAGGAAAAGGGTTTCTAACATCTCAAAGTACATAAAAAAGCACTTTTCACAATCAATAAGTCAAAAGTTAAATCATGCATGAGAATCTAACACTTCAAATACCAAACAAATTGTAGAATTAAGTAGGTGCATCATTGAGAACAATATGAGTATATGTGTCATATTTGGAATGTGCTTTATGCATATGATTTCGTATTGTATCTTAATTCATGCATGGTAGAAGAAAAAGTACGAGAAGAGAAATCATTGTATATGTAAATAACTTATAATCCTCCTATGTAAAAAGAGTTATAATGAAGGGAATGAAAGTATAAAAATAAAAGTTAAATTTAATATAAATATAAAATATTTATTTTGTCTATTAAATAGAAAATTGTTTTATTTATTTATAGTGAATTTCAATTATATATAATTAATATATAAGTTGTTAACGAGAAAAAAAAAAGAACTCAAGATAAATTTAAAAACTTTATTAATATATATTTAATTCTTATTATTTGAAAAAAAAAGTTCTATATGTATACTTATATTTGTTGAAATTATAAATGGTATAATATTAGTGTATTTAATACCCTAAATAAACTCTTCAATTTATTATAGGTGTCTTTCCTCTATTTTTTTATAATTTTTTTTACTTTTTTAATATACCTTTGTTTTTTTTAATTAACGTATGCTATGTTTTTTATTTCATATATTTATTATTTTTAAATATATAAATCATAATAATTATTTTTTTAACTATGATAATTTTATTTTTCTTTCTCTGATAATAGAAAAAGTAATTAGAAAAAAAATTCTCATTATATATAATTATAGATATGTATTTTTTTTCTATCAGTTCTAAATATAAGATTTGTAAGAGAAAGAAATAGAAAAAAAAATATTGATAAAGTGATACAATAAAAGGAAAAGGATAAAGATAAATAATAAATATTAATAAAGTGTTTATATAGAAATAGTTTAGCTAGTATCTGAGAAATAAAGCAACAAAACTCCTTAATATTAATTATTTGTATACATTAATTAAGTTACAAATTCATAAATATTTGAACCAAATTTTAAACATAACACCTTGCAGTCATATAAAGAACCCAAATATTAGTCTTTTTCTTTAATTTGGGGTGCAAATTTAAATCAATTAATTAAATTTTCTTTAAATACTATATATTCTGGTTAAAATTTATAACTTGACGTTAAATTAATTCATAAAAAAAAAAACAATTATGATGTTACACTGTCGTAAAAAATATATAATAGTTTAAAAAATTGAATAACATTATAAATTTACTTTTACATATTAAGATTAAATCATAATGATGACCAAGTGAATTGTTTAAAGCATAAAAATGATAATTGTTTGAAGTTATAGTTACAGAAGTACACCAATTTTGCTTGAGTCAAAGTAAGAAACTTTATAGGCCATTCAAGCATCAGTGAAGGTAACTTCTTAAGGACACCTCACCCTTTATGGTTCTTGATGAACCTAAATAACATTGCAATAATTTTTATCAATTTTCTTTTTCTCTTTAGTTGTACTTATGGAAATTGCTTAAAAGTACCCTTTCTCTTCTGATATAATAATTATGGATACATTTTTTTTAGGTTATTTAATACTAATTTAATTTTCGCTTTTAAATTGTA